CCATGTGATGTGTCCACTTTGCACAGCAGTGCTTGTTGTAGATTGTTTTTCAACTTCTATTTTTTTTGTTGATCTAGAGATGTTCTGCAAGTGTAGAAACCCTCAAGCCAGCTCAGTCAATGGAAACAACGGAGAATCTATATGATGAAAACTGATATTCACTGGAAACCTGGAAACTCAAATATGTGCCGTCGGATCGGAAATGTTGGGGCCAGATCATCCTCCAATCTGTACCAAACAAGGCCCTAAAATGTGTGGTGCAGCAGGCGTTCAGGGATAGCACATTCTTTTTAAGTCAAGATTAGGTAATTGTTCGTGCGTTGCAACTGGACATACATATTATAGGTTTGACAACGATCGTGTTTAACTACCTTTGGTGTTCTTATGCATACTTATTCTTTCATCATTAAAGCTCCCCTTCTCCCTATGGTGCATTTCCGGTAAGCCCTCTTGGCATAACCAACTTTTGTCCCCAATTCACACTTGAACATCTACACATGCCCTAGTGGAGGGCGTCGGCCATGGCCGATATACAACCGGAACTCATGGCTACGGGTAGCCATGGGAAGGCACTATACCTGGCCATACCTCGGGCCGGGCCTAGCCAAGCCCGACAGAAAAAAACCGAGGCCCGAGCCCGGCCCGGCCCGGTCATCGGGCCTGTATTTTTGGCCCGAGCCCGGCCTGAACATGTAAAAGCCCGTCGGGCTTCGGGCCGGCCCGGCCTGACCTTCAGAGAAATGCAAAAACGACGGGCCCGGGTCCAGCCCGGCCGGCCCGAGGGCAGCGTCGGGCCGGGCCGGGCTTCCCATGGCCAGGTCTAGACGGCACCATTGCTCTTCGCTGGAGGTCCACCTAGTGCAACCGCCACCGTCATAATTAAGTAGCCCGTAGTGGAGGGTGTCGTCGCGCCGCTTGCGCCCGGGCCTAGAGCAGCCGGAGATGGGGCGCCATTGTCGTTGGTCACGAGGATTCATGCACCGCCTTCGCCATTGGTGGCTACGCCGCAGGAGGGCCTCACCAGGGAAGAAGGAAGTTATCACGGCTCGCTTTGGTCAGAGAAGCGGAGCTGTGTCGTTCGCTACCTCTGTTGTTGGTGGCTGATGCTTCCGCCGGGGCTGTATAGGAGAAAGAAACCTTGTCAGGGTCGCGGGCCACACATCATAGCATCACCGCACGCTTCTTCTCTGTAGCCGCACTGAGCACTGGTCATTCGACAGCCTGACAGTGGAAGGCATCCATGAGTCCAGGGCGGTTGATTGTATGCCACCACCCTTGCTGGTGGGAAAATTGCTGTCGAGGCCGATGGTGCTCCATGGGTCTCTTGCCTTCGATCTTATGAAGTGATTCGTCCAAATATGTCAATTGCTAGGTATTAGTTCTCTGAACTGAGGTGTCCATTTTTGTACATATTTTTGAAGTCCTCCCTCCGTTCTGTTTTACTCTGCATATAAGATTTGTGTAAAGTCAAACTTCAAAAAGTTTGACCATATTTATATGAAAAGAATAACAATATCAACTATACCACTAGTAGAAAAAGGCCCATTTGTCCCAGTTCATATAAGAACCGAGACTAAAGGGGGGGCCTTTAGTACCGACCCTTTAGTCCCGGTTCCAGAACCAGGACTAAAGGCCCTCTAACGTGGCTGCTGTCTGGAGCTCCACCTTTAGTCCCGGTTGGTGCCCGGTTGGTAACTAAAGGAAATTTTTTATGAAATTTTTTTTATTTTATTTTTTCCAATTTTCAAATTTCTGAATTATTTTACAATTTAATCTCTAATCACCACTCACCACTGTTCAATTTAACCTCTAATCTCTAACCACCCCTCATCATTCCAAATCATCTAATTTACCGGCAGGTCACCCATCGTCTCACTACTCCAGCCTGAGCACGCTTAACTTCCGGGTTCTATTCTCCCTCGTTTCCAAGTAAGCACTTGTTGTTTTCCTCACAGTAGTAAGATGTCAATCCTATTAACCCTCAAGAGTTTAGCTTGAGCATGAAGTCACACGTTTCACTGTTTGAGTTTGAAACTATTAATCTAAAAAACAATAATTACTTAGTAACACTAATATTTCTTGAATAAGTAGTTTTGACCATAGTTTGACCACAGTTTGACCAGATTTGACCAAATTCAAAATAATGGAATAATTATTTAGTAACACTAATATTCTTGAATAATTATTTAGTACCACTAATACTTCTTGAATAAGTAGTTTGACCATAGTTTGACCAGATTTAACCAAAATTTTAAAAAAGTGAAATTTGAGCATATCTTTTTTATCCTTTCAGAATTTGAGGATTCTAAAAATTTGCAAACAGGTCTACAGCCGTCAAAATCGGATGCTGATTTTCGTGATGATTTTTTTAATATACTATGCATTTTTTTTGACATCGTATGCAAAAGATATGACCGTTTTACTTTTTCATAACTCTTTTTTGCAAAACATGTCCAAATTTAAGTTTTTAAAATTTTCCTAACTAATAGATGAAGTGACATAACTACATCTCAAAGGATTTTAATTTTTGAAGTTTTTATCCTTTTTTTTGCTTTTTACGAAACTGAAAAGGCGATCCACGGGCAGCGGGGCGGGAGGGGGTGGGTAGAGTTTGAAAATGGGAACTTTAGTCCCGGTTTGAGACATGAACCAGGACTAAAAGGCATTGCACCCTTTAGTCCCGGTTCGTGTCTCAAACCGGGAGTAAAGGTCTAATTTTTAGTCCCGATTTGAGATACGAACCGGGACTAAAGGGCATCCTCCCGGTTCGTGTATCAAACCGGGACTAGGGCTCATTTGAACCGGAACTAATGCCTTTAGCCACACGAACCGGGATCAATGCCCCCATGAGTCCCGGTTCGTGACTGAACCGAGACTAATGGGGGTATCTGGACCGAATGAAAGCCCTGTTTTCTACTAGTGTACTAAATTATACGATATGAAAATTAAATCCATGACACAACCTATGATATTGATTTTGTATTGTGAATGATGATATTTTTTTCTATAAAGTTGGTCAAACTTTACGTAGTTTGACTTCAGACAAATCATATATGAGGACTAAAAAGGACACGTGGGAGTCTGAAGGGAATGAAACTTTAAAAAATATCTCATCCATGAAACGAAGCATCATAGATCACATTAACAAATGGACCTTCAACAAAGAATCACCATCAAAGAATAAATAGTACTCACTTCGTCCTATAATATAAGAGTGTTTTTGACACTAGTGTAGTGTATAAAATGTTCTTATATTATGGGATCCGGGTAGTAGATAATGTTACTTAGTTCTTGTTTTTTTAAATATTTTTGTAACAAATTATAAGATATTTATGTGATTATTAATTTTATGTGAAGACGTGTCTATAGATCGTGTGTTACACGCGTGCTCATATTGTTGGGCATCAGACACATTTAAATGATGGTAGCTAAAAATAATATTTAAAATAGACATTTTTACTATAGATTGTGATACGTGCACAGTTATACTAGTGATAAAAAAAGAGCCAGCAACGTTTTATACTTGTGAACGAAAGTACCAGCAATCGCGAATCAACCTGTGGTTGAGTTGGTTAGGTGGATAGTGGTATCCCCAACCCACCAAGGGTTCAAATCCTGGTGCTCGCATTATTCCTGAATTTATTTCAGGATTTCCGGCGATGCGCTTTCAGTGGGAGGAGATGTTCCCGTCGGCGACGAGGCGCCTATGGTGGCTTCGTAAATCTCAAGATGATATGCCGGCTCAGTCTGTCGGAGGTGCTCATAGGGGTAGGGTGTGCGTGTGTGCGTTTATAGGGATGAGTGTTTGTGTCTGTACTGATGCTCAAAAAAGAAAGTACCAGCAATCTCAAACATGCATTGAACGGCAGATTTCTTGACTTCACATTTCACATGGCGTGCACAATAGAAAACTGCACTCTGCTCAAGTAGTACTCTTGAACTTTGTTTGAATGTTTTATTTTTACATTCTTTAGAACATTTTTTCTAGAGAAACATTATTTTTGCTAAGCTGTCAACTAGTTTTTCTTTAGCGTTAGAATTTTTTTTCCGAGAAACGAGTGTTATAAGCTGACTTTTTTAGTGCTAATTCTTAGTGTTATAAGCTGACTAGTACTCAATTTTGTTTTTTTTTGTTTTTTGAGATCAGCTGGACGACTGGACGATTGAGATGCCGGGCCTGAAAAGTGGGCATGTCATTACCAGCCAAGACCTTAGTCCAAATACGTCGATTGCTAGGTATTAGTTCTTTAGTTCTTTGGATTAATGTGTCAATTTTTGTACATATTTTGAAATCCTCTCTCCCATCCATTTTACTCCACATATAAGATTTGTCTCAAGTCAAACTTCGTAAAATTTGGTCACATTTATATGAAAAAGTATCAATATCTACAGTACTAAAGTTATACAATATCAAAATTTAATTTATAATACAACTAATTGTATTGATTTTGTATTGTGAATATTGATATTTTTTCTATAAAGTTGATCAAACTTTACGCAGTTTGACTTCAAAAAAATCTTATATGGAGAGTAAAAACTACTCATGGGAGTATAAGGGAATGAAACTCTAAACAATAACCCATCCATGGAGCGAAGCATCATGGATCGCATCCAAACTCTAAAGAATTTTTTTTCTGAGAAACTCGAGTGTTCTGAGCTGACTCAGTTTTTTTGTTTGTTTTTTTAATCAGCTTTTTTTTTGAGAAAGTTTTTTTAATCAGCTGGACGACTAGTTTCTCTTTTTAGACAAAGCTGGACGCCGGGCCTGAAAACTGGGCATGCCATTACCAGCCAAGGCCCATTTCGGTATCAGAAAAGGAAGAAGAAAAAAACCACTCAGCTGACTCTCCCGACCCCAACAGCACCGCCGCCGAGGGTTCTCCGCTTCCGATCTCGCCGAGGTTTCCCGGCGGCTGGCTCCTCCGCCTTCCGACGGCCGGTTCTATCTCCCTCGACGGCCTATACCACGTTCCACCAACCACTTTGCCCACTCCACGCCAATGGCGATCAGCAAGAGGAAGACGGCGTCGCCTCTGACGGATCTCCCCGACCACCTCCTGACCGAGATCCTTCTCCGGCTGCCCGTCCCGGCCGACCTCGCCCGCGCCTCCGCCACCTGCGTCTCCTTCCGCCGACTCGCCACCGAACGGTTCCTCCTCCACCGCTTCCGTCGCCTCCACGAACCACCACTCCTCGGCTTCCTCGAGTGCGACGGGTTCCATCCTGCCCTGCCGCCTCACGCGTCTGCGCCCGCCGCCCGCGCGCTCGCCCTCGCCGCCGACTTTTCCTTCTCCTTCCTCCCCTCCCACTGCCGCTGGACTGTCCAGGACTGCCGCGACGGCCGCGTCCTCCTCAATCGGGGCTCACAGCCCTCTGTCTTCCAGGAGCTCGCGGTATGCGACCCCTTGCACCGTCGGTACATCTTGCTTCCCCCGGTACCTGACGACCTAGCCCATTCGGTTGAGCACCTGCTCCCCAAGTACAACAGGTCTCGGTGCAAGCCTTTCCTCGTTCCCCTCCGCGAGGAGGAGACAGCGGAAGAGACAGCATTCAAAGTCATCTGGATGGCTCATTGCAAAACTAAGCTGTCTGCTTTCGTCTTCTCTTCGAGCACCGGAATATGGCAAGCTGCTGCATCCAAGAGTTGGAATGATTTGGCCCTTGACATTGACGACTTGGTCATGATGCCACAGCTCCACCCTTCTTTTCTCAGGCGCCATTATGCTTATGGTTGCTTCTACTGGGACTGGGTGATAATCAGGAGTGAAAAGTTGCTGGTGCTTGACATCCGGAGCATGGAGTTCTCCATTGCTAATCTACCACCTGGAGATTGGAGTAAAAAAGGTGTAGCCATTGTAGAGGCAGGGGAAGGCAGGCTTGGGATTTTTGCAGCTATGCCATTGCACGAAATAAAGGTGAGAGTCCCATCCAGTGGCAGATGGACAAGACAATCTCACTAGATTCTAGATACAAACATTTTATTGATGCTGCAACTGAGAGGCACTTGCTCTTGACAAGGAAACCAGCCTCATCTGTACATAGTTTACTCGTTGATGAATATTTCTCAATGGACGCCAAGACGTTGCAGCTTCAGAGGGTTTGTGCCAAACAATTATTGCCTATGTATGGGACACACATATATACCAACTTCCCACCATCGTTGTTGTCTTCACGGGCAATATGAAGTGGTAAAATTTCTATCATATCCTTGTTAGCTCCCTCCCTTTATAATTATCACACAGCTTGTCTAATGCTTGATTGCAATTGATAATTCTTGTTTACATGATTTAGTAGTGTTTATTTTCTTGTCCTTGTTGGAAAACTAACCAAGCTTTGGAACATCATTGTGTTTTCTTGTCTTGTCTTTTTCAATTGCCATTTTAAGCGACTGAGGTTGGTAAGAAAAAATACCCTGCACATTATGAGTAGCTTACAAGTGTAAAATTAGTTTAGTTAGGATTGTTTCACCTTGAGAAAATTTCTTCATTCAAGTCAAGCACAACTCATCCTGTACACTTTTCTTTTGATCGGTATAAGGAGGCAGAAAGTTTTATTTTGGTCATCCTTACATATACTTCCTCCGTTCCTAAATGTAAGTCTTTGTAGAGATTCCACTAGGTGGACTACATACGGAGCAAAATGAATGAATCCACACTTAAAATGCATCTATATACATCCGTATCTAGTTTATAGTGAAATCTCTACAAAGACTTATATTTAGGAACGGAGGGAGTATAATTTTATCTTGAGATGTTGTTTTGAAAACTTGAATAACTGATAAGGTCGCGAACAAGATCATGAGCCACTGCTCTAAATAATAAGAACAGCTTGTGAGCTCACCGCTCTATATAATAATAACAGCTTGTGCTCACAATCTGTTTTATCTGAAATCAACTCATGAGATTAGGGAGTTCTTAGCGTTGCACAGGCAGCCAAAAAATCTTGTTTATTTCAGTCAATCTCCACCACACCTAGATCCTCGTGTAATCTCAAAGCAGATCATGTGGGGGGAGAATCTCACCGTGAGATGATTAACTGAAGCTTAAGTTTTTAGGTGATTGTGTATTAGAAAAATTGTAACATGCATGAACTAGAGGTGGCAAAGTTTTGAATTTTTTCCTTGTTGTTACTCGTTTTTGTACTGGGATGGCAGAGTGCACCTGGTTTGTTGGTTCTCCCTACCAACACCCCTGAACCCCAAATTTTTATTTTTTTTGTATCTTTAGTTAGAGGTTTGTTATACTGCTAGGTGCCTTGGTAGAATATGAACTCCTGCAACACGAATGTGCCAATTCTACAAGGCTAAGTTTTCAGGGCTAGTTTGTGTATGTTTGGGCCAATATGGCTATGTGTTTCAACTTGTAGTGCAGATTACAGTGCTAAACACAATAAAGTTGAGTCTTTGCATTAACATGTTTCAAATTCAGCTGTGATGAATATTACCAATGTAACACTAGTATTCTGCCTCTTCCCTGTGCTATTACTGTTTTGTTCCTTCAAGCTCATAAACTCTTAAATGTGCACAGATTGGCGGGAAACCTTCTATGTTGTCTGAGCTTTTTGTCTTGTTTGCCCAGATTTGATGTAGTCTTTGTCAAATCAGCGTTCCAAGTTCAAAGCGACCGGTAGCGTGGAGTTCTCACAGAGGTGACCGCCTTTCTGACAATATGGCGCATGCCAATCCACAGAATTTCACCTGGCAGTGGCTATGTCTATTGTTTTTGTTTGGTTACTGTAACGTGGAAGGTACTGCTCCCCTGCCTAAGAAGTAAGAACTGGGTGTTGACATGAGATGAGCTTTGGGAGCTCAAAGCACTGGTGGTTTCATAGCTCACAAATAGATGTGATCCCCTTTCTGACAAGATGACACGTGACAATCTACAGAATTCACTTGGCTGTGGCCATGTGTACGTTGTTCTTGTTTTCATGCTACTTATAGCCCCGGTTACCGTACATCGATGTTGTTGTTCCCTGCCTAACTGAACATGACAATGAAAGTAACAGTTCCAGTCAATCGACAACTGTGGCTGTTTATCTGCAATTTGTTTTTTTCTTCTTCTTCTCAACTGTATCAGACGTTGACGATGGACCTGGGTAAGTGAAGTTGGACACATGGCGAAACTACTGTGACAGGACTGATGATAAACCCAACCCTACTGCAGCATGTAATTGGACTCGGTTGTTTTGCCACGGCATGACGGCTTTCACCAAGCCAGCTGATGGATGGATATGTTACAGATGGGAAAAGCTGAAGAATCAGCAACGCTAAGCTAAGAGAGTGTGTGAGACATCTTCAGAGGGTCCTCCAGATCCTCAGATTGATGCAGCTTCTCTCACGAGGGGCATTTCAGAGCGGCCACACTACACAGTATGTCTCTCCCTAAGAGTTGCTCCCGTTGCCACACTGAGCGCGCACACTTAATTTGCCAGTACAAATGCTGCTCCTGTTATTTTCAACAGATTTTATGCTAAGATGGTAGACTTTTTCTTTTGAGTAACGCTAAGATGGTAGACTATGCCCGGGCTTGAAAACTGGCCCCGTTATTACTAGCCAAGGCCCAAGGCCCATTTCAGCAGCCCATATTTCGGTCCAAAATTTGAGGCAAAACATGTAAAATTAAAGCCCCGCTCACTGTTCGAAATTAAATTTAAACACCTCTCCCCATAGAAACTACCCGAGGAGTCAAAGGGAACAATGATGTGAGGATGGGGATTGGAGTAGGACAATAGTATAACGACCCTAATATCTGGGAACGTCCCCCCTGGGGAAGTGGTGCAAAGAACGGTTTGATCGCTAAGTAGGCTAGGAACCGGTCAGTGAAAAGGTTCACTGCAGGATCCTCCCAAGTGCAAACCCCCGAGATGCAAACCCAACGTAATCTGTCGCTAATGAAGCGTCATGTGCAGGAGGAAAACAAAGGTGAAAAATGGCCCAGGTTATATAGCCCTTATAAAAGGTAGTAGGCCTATCGTCCCAGAGAAGAAGAAAAAAAAGAAAAAATTCAAAGAAACCGCCATGATGCAAATATAAAAAATGCGATCCTCTGTTTTTTATTCCAAAAGAACGCATAAAAAGATATGTGTTTTTCCTGATATGTATATCAAAAAGTGCTAGTTTGCCAAAGTGAAGACAAAACAGTATTTTAGCTAAAAGTGCCATTGTCTGGGAATCATACATGGAAAATTTTAGAAAAGATAAAATATATGAAATTGCCATGATCGATATAAGGAAAACTCCATGACATTAAAAATAAAAATGCCATGATGCAGAAATTATTTTTAAAAGCCATGCTTGTATTTTCAAAAATAAAAAAAGTCATGCCTATGAATAATTATCATGCTATAGATGAAAATTTTCACATGCTCTTAATAAAGTGTCATGCTCTTAAACAATATAAAAATGCCATGATCTTAATAATAAACATGCCATGGCATAAACATGAATGGAAAATTCCATGATATCGTAAAACAATTGCCATGTTTTTGAGGGAGCAATGCCATGTTTCTAAGTACACAAAGATTATGAAAAATGTCATCTTAGTTTTACAGAAATGCCATGGTTAAAAAATATACTCTTACATGGTATATGCATATTAAACTTGCTGCAGCAAATCAAATGAACAAAGAAAATACAAAATCTGACCAAAAAATGCTATCGCGGGTGCATATTAAAAATGCCATGGTTTGTGAAATGAAAATGCGATGTACACAAATATTTTTCACCACTGAAACAAAATTGCCATGGCAAGATACATATAAAAATTGCCATGGTATGTTATAATAAACTGCCATGGTCTATATAAAATAATTTGCCATGAATGTAAACAATGCCATAGTAAGCTCAACAAAGAAAAGTGCCGTACAATGAAAAAAAAAGCCATGATATGTATGAATTACCGAGGAGCACGTCTTTGAGGGGCCGAGCTCTTGCTTGTGAAGGAGTGTGCAGGTATTGGCAGAGAGCCACAGACGCAGATGCGGCCGCCGTGGCACGGCTCGTCGATCCATGCATCTGCCAGGAGGTTGAGCGCTGGGGAAGTGGATGCGGATGTGGTCGCCACTGCGCACAGAAGACTCCTAGTGTCGCAAAAGACAGGAACGGGGATTGCCGGGCGCAGAATAATGGAAGTCGCTAGAAACGAGGTCACTGGGGGTGCAGGGACGGCAGCACTGTCGACCAGGGGCACCATAGAAAGGTGTAGTCGCCGAGTTAAGTCGTCGGCGGACAGCGACCAGATCGCCGGGGTACTCTCTCTCCTCTCTGCCATCTCTCACTCTCTCGGTGTGAATGAAAAGCTAAATGAGGAAGAGGGGAGCAAGTAGGTGAGTAACGTCGCGTCGTTCACTGGTTTTTGTCTAGAGCGAATGACTGCTGGACGCTTAGGTGGCAGGCACTATGCGTTAAGATGCGTGCCTCCAAATCCAACGGTTCTCAGGTAGTTCGCTGGGAAAACATTCAAAGTGAATGTCAGCCATATAACATTTCCTAAATTTTTAGCTCGTAATAAAACCCAGACAAGATACAACCAACTAAAGAAAAATGGTAAGAAAGCAAGCTAATAATTCATACGTTTTGTCAAATATTGTAAATGGTTATTCTATAATAATTGAATATAATGTGTTATGCCTGATGTTATTCAGAATGAACGATTTAAATTGCTCTTTTAGTAACTTTGTGTCAGTTGCAAGTTTCTGGTAAGTTAGAGAAAAAAAGTATAGACCCCAACAATAAAATGCAGTTGGGAGACAAAACAATTAAGTGCATTCATGGGAGATGCATAGCCCCCAACTTGTATTTGAAGATGTATTTCTTATATACATAGATATACACACACGCGTGCACACATGCAGAGAGATATATATGGCCTAATAAGTTTTGTTGGGTAGACTTTAACCATTGATAAAATTATTAGCATATGGGATGTATGATATAAAAATTATATGATATTAGAAACTCCTT